CTTCAGTGTGCCAATTCTGATTACATCGCTAATGAGTTGTGAACCTGTATCTCATTACACTTTTAGGTTTGGTCACTGAATAGGCTTGGCTGTTCATGCCCATACACAAAAAGGCAGTGTGTGTCTTCAATTTTGCTGCATAGCGTTATGGTTGTAAGCTCAAGGCAAAATGATAGCATGTAGCCATGGCAACATTTGTGTGTAGGTTTTTAAATGTGGAAGAATGCAGGTACTCTTGATTATTGCTCATCATTTTTATCTCTCAACAAAGAAATTTGCATTTAAAGCAACATAAACTTTGAGCAAGAATTTAGGTATGTTCTTATTTGAAAGATGCAGCAAAATCAGGCAGAATTAGGATTTGGATTGTATAAAAAGAATGTCTTTATATTGAACAGAGTACTAAAGGAAGATATTTCTATAGCATGAAATACAGTACAAAAATAGAGTTGCCTTGATGTGTTTAATTTATTTCATGAATGCATTCTGATACATAAAATATTACTGTTATTAATGTTCTGAGCTATTCAAGGTTAAGTGATATGGGGAGAGAAACAAAAATAGCTCTGCATATCTTATTTAGATATATTGAAGAGCACAAAATAAAAATTGAAAAATTAAAGTATTACTTCCACAAAACTACGTAATCAATCATATAAATAGCAATCACATGACTTAAATTTAATGCTTTGGGACCAGCAGCATGACCTAAATTTTATAGTCATCTTCAAATGGATCACTTTAATAAATGCAGTGCAATATACGTGTGACTGTGAACTCTTGCTAATGCTAATTATATTGCTTTGGAAATAATGGTCACAATAAACTATTAATAACCATAGCCAGAACTGATGTTGTCAGTTGCATATAGTCACATGACTTTTCACTTTATATTCATAGCATTAACAATGGAGTTTCTTGTCCCAATTGTGCTAAGTAAATGGGGACTACCTGTAGTATGCTTGGTTACTGGTAAAGCTACGGTAATGTTAAGCTAATTAGTTACCAAAATCTCAAAATTAAATTACTTGTATACTGAACACTGGACACCTTCTTTGGATTGATTAGCCAGTTGTTTTTGGTCATTTGCTGATTCTTATCCCTCCTCAAAACTCATGGTTGCCTATTGTTCATATTTCCTCATGGTTTTCAAGTAATCTGCATAAGGAGAGTGCAAAAGTTGGGTTTAAACTCTACATTAAAAAAACAACAACCTAAGATCATGGCATCTGGTCACTCCCTGGCAAATAGAAGGGGAAGAAATGGAAATAGTGACATATTTTATTTTTTGAACTTCAAGGTCACTGTAGATGATGACTGCTGCCATGAAATTACAGATAGTCCTCAATTACAACAATTCATTTAGTGACTGAGCAGCGCGGTGGCCTAGAGGTAGAGCTCTCGCCTCACAATCAGGAGGCTGTGAGTTTGATCCTAGGTAACAGCTGATATTTCTATCTTTGGGCACAATGAGCAATTGTTTGCCGCAAACTCCGTGTAAGTATCAGGAAGGGCCAGTAAACGCTTGAGCTCCATTCTGTCGCCCTGACTACACAAGGGATTACAGGGTCGTTAATGGGGGGGAAAAAAGTGACCATTCGAAGTTACAATGGCACTGTGAAAAAAGTCTTATGCCTGTCTTCACACTTACGAATGCTGCAGCATCCCCATAAATCATGTGATCAAGACTCAAATGCTTGGCAACTGACTCATATTTATGATGGTTGCAGTAACTCAGGGTCATGTGATCATCTTTTGCAAGCAAAAGATTAACTGTGTTACTAACTTAACAACTGCAGTGATTCACTTAACAACTGCGACAAGAAAGGTTGTAAAAAGGGGCAATATTCACTTAACAACTATCTCGCTTAGTAAGAGAACTTTTGGGCTCATTTGTGATCGTAAGTTGAGGACTACCTGTAAAAGACACTGGCCCCATGGGTGGAAGGCTATGGCAAACCTAGACAGCACATTAAAAAGCAGAGACGCCACTTTGCTGACAAAGGTCCATATAGTCAGAGCTGTGGTTTTCCCAGTAATAAGATATGGCTGTGAGAGTTGGACCATAAGGAAGGCTGAGTGCCAAAGAAATGATGCTTTCCAATTGTGGTGCTGGAGAAGACTCTTGAGAGTCCCTTGGACTGCAAAGGGATCAAATCAGTCAATCTTGAAGGAAATGAACCCTGACTGATTTTTGGAAGAACAGATACTGAAGCTGGAGCTCAAATACTTTGGCCACCAAAGGAGAAGAGAAGATTCCTGGGAAAAGACCCTGATACTGGGGAAGATTGAAGGCAAAAGAAGGGAACGGCCGAGGATGACTGGTTAGATAGTGTCAATGAACATGAATTTAGGCAAATTCTGGGAGATAGTGGAGGATGGGGGAACCTGGCGTGCTGTGGTCCATGGGGTTGTGAAGAGTTGGACATGACTTAGCGGCAGAACACAACATAAACAAGAAGGTGTAATACTAGGCAACACTGAATATGAAAAAACATCTTTGCTGTTTTCTGACTGCAAGGAAAGTTTAGAGGGAAGGTGCAAGAACAGATTTACTATTCTTGTGCTAATAGAAAAAGTTTTGAATTGCCATAATCATGTCTTAAAGTTTAATATCTCAGTAGAATTCTGAATATAAGATAAACTCTGAATCATTATGATGCATATAATTGAGCTATCTAAAATATTATAATCCATTTGGCTCCATACTTTTATCAGATAAGTATTATGAGAAAATAGAATTCATATTTTTAGTTTTGCAGTTTCTGATTTCATGTTAACAGTTAAATCAGTCTTGGAAATGGAGTACTAGAAGGCTTTTACAAAAGCATTCTGTCTGTATATAAATCAGTGGCCCAGACTCTGTTTTTAAAGAATGACCGCTTTCAATTGAAGTCTAGCTGGAGAAATTGTGGAATGCCAGCTGCATGGCAAGTAAAAGGAGAAAGATTGTATCTGCTTGCTTGATTAGAGTCAATAATAACAAAAGTAGAATTTTAGAAAAGTTCTGAGCAAATCTGAGGAGGGAATCAAATTTGAAAACTATTAAATATTTTATATCCATATATCTTCTATGATACGAATTTAAAACTGTATTGTGGTTATTTCATTATTTAAACAAACATAGAAGCTACACCATTCCAGACAAATATAGCTAACCTATACTCTAAAAAATAAAAAAAATTAAAAGGCGGGAGAATTATGTTTGGGAAAAACCATCCACAGCACATCCACCCTACTGCAAGGACTGGGAAAGCAATCAGGTTTTAGAAGGATTTTTGGAATATAAAGTAAAGTAGGAATGATATGGATCTCTAAAGGAATGTTCTTTTAGTGGACAAGCATCACAACTTTCTCTGTTGTGGTGCCTGACCATGCTGTATAGGCAAAAACTATTGATTATCCACTCTGAGCTTTACATGGCAATTCCTAAAAATCTAAGGTATCTTGGGGAGATTTCTATTAATTGAAGAAAATATTCAAATCTGAATAAATAGTAATAGCACTTAGATTTATATACCACTTCACAGGGCTTTACAGCCCTCTCTAAGCGGTTTACAGAGTCAGCCTATTGCTCCCCCAACAATCTGGGTCCTCATTTTACCGACCTCGGAAAGATGGAAGGCTGAGTCAACCTTGAGCCATTCAGAATCGAATTCCTGGATTGAGCAGTGAATTAGCCTGAAATACTGCGGTCTAACTACTGTGCCACCACGGCTCTAAATGTGGAGAAAACTATAAGAATTTCAAAAGTATTTTGCTATTCCTGATTATCAGGTAGGCTTGAGAAGACTTGATAGTCTTGCATTCTGAAAGAGAATGCTTGACTCCCCTGTCTGTATTATATAATACTGTATGGCCAATTTTGGTGTTAAGATTTCTTTCAATTTGCGAGCCTCACAGAAGATAAATACATGAGTAGTTGAGTCTAGAATGATAGGCTTAAGTCATGCCAGTCATTACATGGGTTGCCGTGTGACCACACCTGAGTTTACAATTTTTGTTGTGGCTGTTGTTAAGTGAATCTGGCAATTGTTAAGCAAATCCATTGTCCTCAGTGGGTATTTTTTTTTTTTTTTTGGCCAGAAACTGGAAGTAAAGGCCAGTTTCTGGCAAAATGCATCATAAATTGCAGTTACATGACAAACAGCCGTAAATGTGGGCTGGTTGCCAAGTATCCAAAATGTTATTGGAACTTCATATCTGGGTCATCTGTAGCCCTGAGGAATCTGACATAACTTTAGTTTAGTGACTGGTTATAAGTTGAGAACTACCTTTACATAGACAAGAGCATCAGACTTCTAGTATAACCCCTCTTCTTTTCCTCTTGTAATACACATCATGTTAATATTTGGTTGGCAGAAACTTTCCAGCCTTTTGGGTACAATTCAGTGATGAATTTCCATGATAGATAATGTAGTGATTTCTTCTCATGCAATACCAGAAAATATTTTCACATCTTCCCAGCAATCCCCTCTATGCCTTCAAAATCTGTTTTAGGAGAGTTCTCCAAACTTTAGGTACAAAATGTTTAGTGCAATATGAGCAAGCTTCAAGCTTTTATTTTTATTCTTTTCTATTTCATCATACTTGTTTCTAATGCCAACGGAATTACGAAGTTAACATTTTAACACCAATTAAAATTGCATGTTTCTTAAATTGACCTGTTTACACACTATAATTAAAGCCAAACTTTGTCTTTTCAAGTGAAATTATAAGTTTGCTATTTGAAAAGGGAAACTGAATTTTGCAAAAAACTTATTCAAAATTGTACTAGAATTACAGGAAAGCCTAACAATTATTCATCATATTGTGTTCTAAATTGATTCAGTGGTGTATCCAGATGAAATTGCGGTTAAAGCATCAGTGTTTATTTAGTTCTTCTCAAAGATTGTGACATATTTGAAATGTTGTCTAAATTGCATCATAGAATTCTGTCATTCTGATGATTAATTAAATGCTTGATCTGAATAACAAAACATCTATTCTTTGGCTTCTAGCTCATCATTCTGCTCAACTCATACCTGACAACTATATTAAAAATGGCTGCTAGTAAGGCAAAAAGTCAAAGCTCTCTTGCCCTTCACAAAGTAATCATGGTTGGTAGTGGAGGCGTTGGCAAATCAGCACTTACACTTCAGTTTATGTATGATGAGGTAAGACATTGGTTGCTTTTCTATTTATAGGTATTAAAATGATGTGCTATAGGATCTGTACTAAACTGCTTTTACTGTGCACTGTGGGACATCAATACAAGATCATAAATTTGTAGAGCCTTTTTCAGAAAGAGAAATGATTTTATTTTGTTTTTTCCTGTTGGTAGTTTAGATTAGATCTCATGGTTTTAAATATAACAAGCCTTCTAGAATAGTCAGTAAAATAACATCTTTTTATAACTTTTTATCCTCAAAACTAATTTTTTTCCTCAAAACCAATATGCCACTTCATACATTTATTTTTTTCTTTAAACTTCTCCCTTCTCTTAAGAATGTAATCATATATAAGAAAGTGGCAGAAATTCTTAAAAGAGCCTTTTCCCATGTACATCGGTTATCCCTGCAGCCTTACTATTTTCAGCATTTTAACAGCATATATTACTCCATTTATGCCATTTTCACCAACATTTACAGCATTCATTTCAATTCTAGCCTTAGATATGTTGTAGTTAGATATGTTGTAAAGAGAGAAGCAACCTGGAACTAAGGAGAAACTTTCTAACAGTGAGGACAATTAACCAATGGAACAGTTTGCCTTCAGAAAACTGGAGGTTTTTAAGAGGAGACTGGACAGTCAGTTGTCTGAGACAGTATAGTTTCTCCTGCTTGAGCAGGGGGCTGGACTAGAAGGCCTCCAAGGTACCTTCCAGCTTTCTATTCTGTTCTGTTCCGTTCTGTTCCGCTCCGCTCCACTCCACTCCACACAAAATTGTTCTGCATTGCTTTTATCTGTTTTTTATCTTAACCATTCCTTGCTCTCTTTGGCTACATGCTGTATTTTCAAACTTTTATTCCTGTCAATATACATGCTGTTTCTTTTGTTCTTTTTTGCAGCAGTCACTCTTTGCTGGGCATTTTTCTCACCCATGGTTTTTTTCATTTAATGCTTCCGCTGTGAATTGTTTTTCATACTTCTCACTACTATTTCATAATTGCTCACACCTAGAGTAATTCCTTATAATTGATCTTTTACAATTTTTTCCACGTAAAGCTCTTATTTCCCCCCTCTCCCTATGTTCTACTTTCTCTCTTATTATTTTTACTTTTCTGGGGATTTTTATGCCCATTTTTTTGAAGATCTATTGTTCACACTGCAAGAAACAATGGCCTGTCTTAAACTGAGAACCTCTTATCCCCTTTATTTACTGATATCAAAGTGGTCATACTTAATTCTTTCATTTTCTGTGTATTCATGTGAATTGACTTAAACTATATATTTGAAGCATGCTTTTTTCTAAGCATATATTTACCAAAGGATCACCTTTATCATTGTTCATGGGTTTTAGAAAATTCATTTAAAATATTGTACAATTTTTGCAGTTCTTCCCGAGTCTTTTGTTATCAACATTCACTGGAGTGATAACTATTTACCAGATTGTAACACAATTATCACCAGCCTACAATTGTATGCATCCGCAACAGTCTAGTGCTTTCAGCGCATGTGTTTTTATACGAATATTAAAATCATACATTTTACTTATTTTATAATTGCATCTACACTTTCATCTATATCTTTTCATCATCTCCATCCCATCAGTTCAACTATGCCTTCATTCAAAGTTATTGCATCTTTCCCTTTTATCCTAGCTCCACAACACAGAACATAGTTGTTTTTCTTTAATTCATTGCATTAATTCATGCACTTAAATACCATTTATTCCTCTTACAATCAAGTTGTCTTCTACATGCCATGGTTATCAATAGTTGGGGTGCATAAATCTGTCATCCGATGTGGCTTTGATGACTTGAGGCTTTCACATAAGACTTTTCAGAAAGACAGGAAAGGTTATTAGTTGTCTATGCTGCATGCAGCATTCCCTGCTGATAGTAAAGATGCCTACCGATCTAGATCAGTTTTTGACACATTTTGACTAGTATGCCACAAGCACAATGAAACCCAGTTTTTCTCTAAACATTTTCCTGGCGTATGATAGGATTTCTAATATAAAGGCTACCTTGCAGGTCAGTATACTATTTCCAGTATCCCACCATGTGTTGAGTATATTCAAATGCTTATTAATAGTAATACTAAATTTTTACCCCATTTTATGGATCATGTTACTATAGCAGAAGCATAACATGTGACTTGCTTGCAATCTTTACCTCTCAAAAAAGAATTGCATAATGCTTAGGATTTTAAAGGTAGGCTTAGAATTGCTTGAACAAGTTCTGATGGCAATTTAATAGAGTCATCATGAAGTCGTCTGGAAAATGAAGCTTCATTTCAGAATTGTTATTTGCCTTTACTCACAATAAACACAAGCAGAATTAATACTTATAATATTTACAAGGGGATTTTTTTAAAAAAAATAGAGCACATTGTTTTAGACTGTCATATTTTGATCCCTAGATTATTAGTTGAAGCAGATCTTTAACTCATAAGTGAAGGAAATATTTTGATTTCGGTGCTATACACACCAGAGCTGCAATAATCGGCATTATTGTTAACTGGATAATCTTCCATAACTTAATTTGCCATCCAAAGGATGCAAGAATCCTATATCTAACTATTGTTTTGTGCTGTCTAGTTTGTTGAAGACTATGAACCAACCAAGGCTGATAGTTACAGAAAAAAAGTTGTTCTAGATGGGGAAGAAGTCCAAATAGATATTCTGGATACAGCTGGGCAGGAAGATTATGCAGCTATTCGAGACAACTACTTCCGGAGTGGAGAAGGTTTTCTCTTAGTTTTCTCCATAACTGAGCATGAATCCTTTACAGCTACAGCAGAATTTAGGTAAATATGATCTCTAGATGTTTTCATCGGACTTTGATTTTTGATTGAATCTACAATGTGGTCCAAAAGAAAGATGTCATCTTTCCTTTTTTCCCAGAACACATTGTTTTGAGCTTCTGCTAAACTGAACAGGAAAATGCTTAACATATTTGAAGACGCAAAGGCGACCAATTAAATGTGGCTGTGGGGTTTGCATTTTTTAGAGATGATAGTTTTTACTATTTAATTCTCCCTCTGTAGATATGAACATGTGCAATAGCTGCAACTGTACAAAACACAAATTCATTTTATATCAGTATATTAGTTTGTGAGAGCCAGTGTGGAATAGTGGTTAAGGTGCTGGACTGGGAGACCTGAGTTTTGATCTTTCTTAGGGATGGGCCATTTTGTCTTTCAGCCCTACACTGAGAAATTAAAAACCTCCACAGTGGGCTTACATGATAAATTAAGGTCTGTAATCTTGGCCTTCATTTTGCTGTTTATTGATTTAGCATAACGGTAATAATAATAGCTGATTATGCTAATACGGTGTTACGCTTTGCTAATAGTATGGTGCTGACTATAATGTGTACATTTCCTACTTAATCTTATATAAAGTATATTTAAATGTACATATGTATTTGTGTGTGTATACATACAAATATACATACATGCATATACATGTATATGTATATATGTTTAGATAGATTAGATAGATAGGTAGGTAGGTAAGTAAGTAGGTAGAATAATAGGTATAATAGATTGCATCAGTTATTTGCAGTAAAATATTATACTTTGAATGGAAACTGGAAAAAGGGGCACATTGTCTGGTAGTGGGGACCTGCAGCCTATTCTTCTGCTTGACCACTAAATGTAATATGCAATAATAATAGCATTGCAGTTCCTTTGGCATACCTCACTTATTGTTTCTGACATGCATGAATTTTTCACCCTAGCATGAAATAATGATTAAGGCTATATCTACTGTTTTGCTTTTAATATGCTATACTAGAGAACAGATTCTCCGTGTAAAAGCTGAAGAGGATAAAATACCATTGCTAGTAGTGGGGAACAAATCAGACTTGGAGGACCGTCGACAAGTGCCTGTAGAAGCTGCTCGAAGTAAAGCGGAAGAGTGGGGAGTTCAGTATGTAGAGACATCAGCAAAAACAAGAGCAAATGTAGACAAGGTAAAGTAAGAGTTTGTTTTCAGCAGTATTTCAGAAATGAGGCTGTTGGATCACAGTCAACATTTGTTTTAATTACACTTATATATAAATGTAAGGCAAAATAAGCTGGCATTGTGAGTTCTCTACATCTTACGGAAGATCGCTATAATAGTTATCAACCACTTCAATTTAATGAAAGAATTTGAGCAAATGGTGACCTAATAAACTAAAGCTGCCTTTTGTAAATAGAAGGAGATCTTGGTTGCCAAATTTTCTCTTCAATTATTCCCCAAACTGTAAATTATACATGTTAGCACAATACTGGTAAGCCTCGACTTATGACTATAATTGAGCTCAGAATTATGGTAGTAAATCATCGCAATAGTGTGTCAAGACATCATGTGACCAGATTTAAAGTTAAGACCACTTTATGGCAACTGTGAAGCAAACATGGCAAAAGTTCCCAATGGGCACTTTGTTGCTGGAAAATGGAGATAAATGCTAGGAACCACAAAAAATTTAACAAATCCTGGTCACCTGACTGTGGGTTGCTGCAAGTGGCCGTAAAGGAATATTGGTTTCCACGCTCCAAAAATATGATCCTATGACTATGGGATATGTGTACAGCATCATAACTCTGAAAATGGGATTATAAGTAGCTTTGGGAAAGTATGTCACAACTTCAAATGGTCCTTAAGCAACAAGTCATAAGACTACCTGTATAGCAGAAACTACTCTAGACTTGCTGAAATACTCTTGCAATATGTTAATGAGATAATTGCCATAAATCTTACGGAAACACAATTGGTTCTTTGCAGTTTTGTAAGAATGGATAAAATGTGTTTAATTACAGGTAGTCCTCAAATTCTGAGCAAAAAATAATACTGGCAGAGCTGTTGGTTTTCTTTTTCCTTGCTAAAGCTAGCCTTAGCTCCATCGATGCTAGCAGAACTATGACTGTCGGTAGAGAGAAAAATAAACCCTCATGGTTTTCTTTGTTTCGCTAAAGCTAGCCTTCGCCAGTCTAATGCTTGTGGAACTAAATCTCGTTATAGTGAGGGAAAGAAAACCGAGAGCTTTTCCAGCATTATTTTTTATTTTAAAAAAAATCCTCTTGTGGGATTGTGCCATGTGGCCCAGCAATGAAGTGCCTTTTCTGTTGGATTGCCTATTGCCCGCTTAATTTGAGAATCTTGTAAGCATGCTTAGCTCTGAGAAATTATTGAAGTGGGCAGATTCAACTTATCTTGAATAAATCTTTTATATTTAACATTATATGTGCTGAATTTTTCTGAAGCTCTATTAAATTTTGTTTTAATTCCCTGAGAGTTCCTGTGCTTTTTGCACCAAATTCAAATAGTTAAAAGCGGAAAAGTAACTTAGGACAGTTTTTCACACTTACGACCATTACAGCATCCCCACAGTCACCTGGTCAAAATCCGGACGCTTGGCAACTGGTTTATATTTATGAGGGGTATGGTGTTCAGGGTCATGTGATCATCTTTTGCGTCTATCCGACAAGCAAAGTCAATAGGGAAGCCAGATTCACTTAACAACTGTGTGTCTAACTTAACTGCAGTGATTCATTTAATAATTGTGGTAAGAAAGGTCATAAAATGGGGCAAAACTCACTTAACATATGTCTCATGTAATAACAGAAATTTTGGGCTCAACTGTGGCTATAAGTTGAGGACTAACTGTATAAAAAATTTATGATGGTCAAAAATTAGCCATTTAAAATCACCTTTGTGAATAAACAACATGTTTAGGGATTTGTTATCTTTTTTCCTAATATGTTGCATTAATTTAAAACATGCATTATTTCTTCATACAAGCCAGTTTCAAATGCTGATAATGTTGTCTACTTTTCTTTCTTTTTAGGTATTTTTTGATTTGATGAGAGAAATTAGATCCAAGAAAATGTCAGATAATAAAGACAAGAATGGCAAAAAAAGCAGCAAGAATAAGAAGAGTTTTAAAGAACGATGTTGCTTATTGTGATCTTTAAGTGCTACACTTATAGGTGACAGTACTAACAAGACATTTTACTACTAACCATAGAGGACTGAATTAATAAGAAGAAATCTGAATTCAATACATTTTTTTCAACTCACATTGATATAAGAATTGAAGTTCAGCAGATCCATGTATACCAAGAAGGATGATTCTTGAAAGCAGCTTTCACTGGTAAACAGTAATGCAAGCATTTTTTTTCCTTTTATCATAAGCAATTTACCTGTTAGTCATATGGTGCACTCTGAATTTACCTCCGGATGCTGCTCCAAGGGCACTCCTCAAACAACTCTTCACCACCCTTTTTTTGTTTAAATGGCGTTCCACCAAAGTTGTAGCTGTCTTTTCTTTCTGACTTCATTTTGTGTGCTCTTAAAGGCGTAAGCCTTTGGTGATTTTTTTTTTTTAAAAAAATCACAAGTTGACAAAATGAGCTATTTCTAGCCTTTAAAATGTATAGTGCTGCTTAAAATAAGTTATGGTGGTGTCAGTTTTGCTGTTTTGCCAACATAATAGATGGACAGTGTAAGGCTTATCTTTTTAAAAAAACAGAATAGTGAGCATTTCCGTAATGACTATAGTAAATTTCAGAACATTAGTAATTATATTCTGGCAAATTAATACTGTCTTAAATCTGGAGTAAATTAACTAGGCATCTTGATGCAGAGGAGTTTCTAAGATTAACCCAATTTTTCAGTACATTTGTTGAGGATTGTAGTATTTGAAATCCAAGACATATGAATGACATCAAGCTAGAAGTTTTTAGTTTATTCCATTGAGTAATTCTACCCATCCTCCCAAAGACTTGGTTTCCTCCTAAAACCTGGACATTTTTATTCATGGTGCTGTGGTGGTTTGGAGTCTGTATTGAAGCCATAGTGGTTGCTACATTTGGTCTCAATGTTTAACAGAAGAAGGGGGTTTTTTTTAATGTGAAAGTTCACATTATGTAGTTTCATGAATTGGATACAGCCCTTGTTTTAAAAGTGGGTGGTTAAAAAAAAAATCCACCAGTCCTTATCCTGCACTTATTCCATTTGAACTGTAAAAAAAAAAATAAGAAACTTGTGCAGAAAATATTTCTAGTAGTTTGTTCGAACCAGAGAAACTTAATGGTGTATTATAGTTGGCTTTACTTTCTTTCTCCCATCCGAGTTGTTGGTATCTGCCTAGGTGACGTCAAGACATGAAATTCCACTCCTGAGTGAGCACGCACTAGTGTTCTCCACATTGTGGAGCAGTGGTGGCTAAATTAAAAAGACGGAGATGTGCAATCTTTTCATATATATCTATATCCAAGTTAATAAGGAGCAGTTGCCAAGAAGTCTGACTCTTGGTTTCCTTGTACAAGAACTTTTTATAATTATTCACTGGATAATGGGATAAAGTTTGTAAAGACAGCTAAATTTATTCAGTTAACAATTGTTTTTCTTTTTTTGTCACTATTTGATCATTAATGGGGTAAATAAAAATGGCATGTGGAAGTATATCATTACACTTTTAAAAAATAGTTCTGGCCAATTCATTAAACCATTCTTTCCCAATTTGGTGCTCTTTTAAACGGTAATTTTCTTCATTTCCAAACAGGATGTGAGAGGAACGGTCAAAAAACACCAAGCTGGAGAAAGTTCTGTTGAGCAAATATACTTTATATAAATGCTCTTATCTGGTTGGTCGTAAAAATAGTTTTTCAGATTATAGAATACTTTCAAAATTCCAAGAATAAGCATGTATCAGGATGCTTTGGAAGATTTCGAGCCCGGGTGTCAAACTCAAGTGTGTCATGTAATGTAACGTTTTTTGCCTTTGCAGAGCTGGGGTGGGCATGGTGTGCGTATGATGCATCTGGCCCACAGGCCACTAGTTTGACACCCCCGATTTAGAGTATCTAGTTTAGATCTGGGTATGCTTTAAGAGAGAGGTTTTTTTAAGAATTGGGGTTATGAGACCACATAAAACCAAGTCACATAAATCAATGAACCGGGATTCTGTCCTTTCACTTGTTATTTTTTTCTTTTTACAAACTTTTGAAATTGTTATGTCTATATTGGAGTATATACACTGTTTTCATTTAGTATGTGGCATGAAACGGCTTTGGTCATTTTCAACAAAAGCTCCGGAAGGCTCCAGAAAAGAGGCCTGTGCATTTCATATGGTCCTATACCCATGACTTGAAAAAGTGATAAAGCAGTTGCTTCATAGCTGCTTCAATTTTTCAGAAATTGAAAAATAAGGGAATAAACAGGTAGCAGTATGAAGAAGAAAAATACAACCATGTCTGGATATTTAGAAAGTTGAAGGTTATGTCTGAGTATAAAGATTAGATTTATCAATTAAGATTATTTGAAAAAAATGCTTAATAATACTAAAATAGGAAAACTATAAAGGAGTTTTATTTGATTTATATTGGCATAGTAATAAAACAGTGTTAAATGATATATGAATATAGGCTGAAGCAGATATCCAGTTTACATATTGTTACTGTGTGTTAGAGAAGACAGAATGTGACTAGATATATTTATGGGATCGGGCAAGGCAAATAAAACACCACAAGATTGCTCTTCTAACAAACAAAATATGGACAAGATTCGGTGTCATCTGTCCTAAATGCAGATCGAGATCTCATAATTTTCAGCTATGGAGCTTTCAATAATAAAGCATTCTTTGGGGATATAGTTTTGACAGGTACTGATTTTATGTAGCATAAAACAATCTGGTACCTGTGGATTTCATCTTGAACACAGATGGACAATATGTAACTTTCCAGATGCTGCTGAATGTCAGCTCCAGCAATCATAAACATATATGCTAACAGGAAGGGACACAAAGATGTTGCAGAACCCTCTTTGGAAGATCAAACGTTGCTCAACCCATGGTAGATATTTTATTTTGATGATACATAGAAGCTTTCAGCAATCATGAAGGAAGGTACGGCTTCACAGAAATCTCTAAAATAGGTAAACAACTTCAACGAGAAACTTGAACAAAAAAAATGGTATTTTTAAAAAGGGAATATGCAGTAAGAAAGCAAGCAAAAAAGATATAATTCATGTATCTCCAATTTCTATTGAACATAATTTAATACTGCATGCCCTTTAGCATGAAGGAACTACAGAAAGTTACTGGGGAAAATAACTTGCATAGTTTAGGCATTACTTTAGCATTGTTTTTAATCTTTGTAAGCTGCTCAGAATCACTTGCGTGAGATGCATGGTCATATAAATTTAGGCATACACACAGATTCAGAGTTTAGAATGGAATTTGAAACATCCACATGAGCCTTGCAGTTACAGAACTGTTGTAACTCTTTAGAGAGAGATGCTATTTAATATAAACTTATAAACCATTTCTTTTCATGCTTTGTACAGCCTTAATTGATACTCTAATCCAGTGGTTCTCAACCTGTGGGTCGGGACCCCATTTGGGGTCGAACGACCATTTGACGGGGGTCGCCAAACAAGGCTGTCAGCCATTTTTTCCCCCTTTGGCCATGTCCCTGGCACCCGATGATGTATAAGTGGTTGGGGGTCACCACAACATGAGGAACTGTATTATGGGGTCACGGCATTAGAAAGGTTGAGAACCACTGCTCTAATCCTTTATTCAGTGGAAATTTATTCCTGTGTCAGAACTGCATTGCTGCCTAAATTCATTAAATTAAACTTATTCCCCTGTAATGTTTTAAAAATAGAGCAATTGATTTAAAAGTTGTTTACTTTAAAAGACAGCCTATGAAGTCGGTGTTACTTAACATTGTTTAAGAATTAAGCCATGATTTTGCTTGGGTTCTTTGGTTGTTATTGAATTATAATTCCCAGCATCCCTCATCCTTACCTATGCTGCTTTGGTTTGTTGCAAATTCAGATTCTGCATTTCCTGGCATAATTGCTTGACTACTTATACTCAAGTGTTTAAATGAATTTCTAATAGCAAACGGTGCACATTCTTCAAAGGATTTGAAATCTGATAGCATCAGTGACTGTGTATTCACAACAACTGGGGACAGTAAACATATAGGAAGCTGTCTCACAGTGACTCACATCATTGGATCTAACTAACTCAGTATTAGCCCCTTTGATCAGTAGCAGTTATCCAAAATTCTTAATTTGACTTTTTCAATCTCTTGAAATAAGTTGAGTTATGAAATTTGGTATATGTTAAGTATATAAATGAATGCATTTTTCTCCTGCTTCTGATTTCTATGTAGTCCATTATTGCCTATAAACCAGCTGTTGGGGATCTGGACCTTGAGGATCTTGAGGAACATAGGACCCATTTCTAAACTATCCATTCTAGGAATTATAGGAGATGAAGTTTACTCATACTTGGAAAATCACAGTCAAACATGTTTGAGCTGTAGTTGTAAAAGCATCTGTAGAAATTGGATTCTACATACATGGCAATTAATAAACCATATATGGTCCCATGCGGTCATTTTTGCATTTAACTATTATATAGTTTGAGTTGACTTCTGTGCTTATTTTATAAATATCTTACGGACCAACACTAGTCAGGCAAGTCTAAATAACAAAAAACAGGTTGTGAGCATGACAGTCATTCCACAAAACAGTTGATCAAAACATTTGGGATATTAAAATTTAGCTTTAATTGGGAAATAATTTATAAGAACCCCAAAATTATTTGCTCAGAAATCTTTTAGGAGAGAGAATTCAGAAGTATATATTTTCTTGTAATAAAAGAAAATAAACTCTGAGACATATTAGAGGGAGAAAAAAATTTAACGGATAGCTTATAAACTAACATTAATTACAGTAATTTCTAGTGAACTCTCGCCTTCATTTTAGATTCATAAAATAGACTTGGAGACTATATGTATGTATATAGCTGGTTGTGCAAAATGAGAACTGAATAGAAATGAAATGTGAACAAAAAAAAAAATCTTTAAACTTTAGGTGTAAAATATTAAATCAAACCTTTTGAAATGTAATCCTCTATAGTTTATACCTTTTCAAAATCCAAATTACAATTCTTTTTCATTCTCATGCTGATTCATATCATTAAAAAGGAAAACAGCTATTGTGAACAGAATGTAATTTCTGTCAAAGCTCACAAAAATATTATAAAAGCATTCCATTAGAATATTGGAAAATTCAGACTCTTAATTTCTATATATACCTTATACTGACACTTATTAATCTAACTATATTTATAAAGTATATATTATTATAACCTTGCTCCTCCAAAATATTTTCAAGTCTCCTTGCAACTCTTCTGGTTCACAGATATTATTTTCAATGTTATATGATGTAGCTCTACCAATGATGATTACATTATGTGTACATGAAGTTACTCTGGTTTATCTGCGAATAATGGTAAAGAAACCCTATTGATATGAAGGTTACTTCAGTATTGTTTATGAAATATGGTGTTTTAAGTGTTTGAATTATCTTTTTTCAACTTTTAATGCAAACTGCATTGAAAAAAAACAAATCCCGGATGCACTCCTGGAAAATGTACATGTTTGGTTCCATATGAGAATGGAATTGAAATGAAAAGTGACACAACAGCATAATAAAATTCTAATTTCTCTTCTGAGAAGGCTTTGTCAGACATCAAAGAGAGTATAGTTTCTTGAAAGGCCCAATTATCATAATCCCTTGTCATACAGAAACTAAGGTATTTGGTACTCCAGCTTCTGTGCTAAGAATATGGGGTAGTCATTGAACCTAGCAGCAAAGTCTTTTCAAGAATTTGTTGCACCATTGGTAGATCAGGAATTGGTGGTGGGGTACTGGAGGTCATGAGCAAACATGGAGAATCATGGTGGGCTTCAGAGTCAAAGGCAGAAAAACGCATTGGCGTATGCAGAGGTTTGCATGTGGCTCCTGCCGGCGCTTTTAAAAATTCCAACACATTTGTTTTAGAAAAGTGGTGCAGTTTCGGAGGACAACTGCACAGTCTTAGGAAAACTGGAAAAGCCACATTAGTAATACTATGCATTATTCATTCTTATCCTGAATTTTACTGCCAGTTTTAGATAAAGAATTGCAAATAAAAACTTTCTTTTGTTGTGAATCTGCTATATACCATTACGTAACTCTTAAAAACAAAAGGAAAAGGTACAAAAGTGGCTTGCCACTGCCTTCTTTCAATTTCCTTATATCCCTGGGATTCCTGGAAGATCTAAGTGTTAATGAGCACAGTTCCTGCTTATTTTCCAGTCTCTGCCAAGATAGCCAGGTGCTGCCACCTGCTGAAATATGCCAGCTTGTCTACTAAGGAGGCAGTATAAATAAAGACATTGTCGTAAGGGAGTTACACTTAAGTGCTTGGAGTTTCCTTAAAATCTGTATCTGGGCTAGAATTTAATAGCCAGCGATGGTTGTGTTTTGCAATCATTTCAAGTGAAAATGTTCTTGGAACACAGGAAATGAATGTCATCAGAACATATACATTTACTTCAAGATTGAGTTTCTAGCGAAAGGTTCTGTCTTTATATCATCAGAAGCCATCACTGAAAAGGGAATAGAAGCACTGCAATACAACTGAAGATCTGAGCACAATGTTCGATATTGTAAATTGCTGGTGCAATTGCACTTGTGTGGAAGAACCTTTAGAGATTATAAGCAATTTACGTACAAAATTGAACGGCAGCAGAGGAGAGGGCAGGGAATAGCTTGCTCAAAACAAAGTATACAGTATTCTCCAAAATCTTGGATATGCAGCAACATGACAATCAGTAAATGCTAAAAATGTATAGCGGACAAATTGATGTTTGAACATACCAGTTCTGAAGTAGTCAAATCCATCTCTTTGTCCCCTCAATTTCATCAACCAGAGCACTGTTTTTATCAGGGCTAAAGTCAAGTGGTTGTCATTTTATGTGCATTATAATTCAGTTTGGTGTCCAGGATTTCTGTGTACTTTTGTGTAATTCTTGTCTTACCCATAGAAATTGTCCTACCTACTTCAGGATACCTTTCTGAGTTGAATTTAACTGGCCACTCTTCATGAAATATTTGACACAGTGAATTAATATACATAAAACATCTAATACGAGTATTAAATATAAGGAAATTGTTTTACTTTCTCATGACATCTCATTATATTGCCTAACAGTGCTTTTAGTTAGGTACAAGTGAATAGCTTAGTTCAATGGTTCTCAACCTGTGGGTCAGGACCCCATTTGGGGTCGAACGACCATTTCACGGGGGTCGCCAAACAATGCAGTCCGCCATTTTCCCCCCCTTTTCCTTAGCTGTGCTACTCCCTTTTATTCTATTGGCTTTTGAAAGCCAATAGAATAGACTCTCTTGAATAGAGTCTAATTCTATTGGCTTTCAAAAGCCAATAGGAATTGTCCAGGCTGTCTCTGCCCTGCTGAGCCCGCCAAAAGTCCCATTCTGCAAACGGTGCTGCATCAGTTGAGTAGTCCTCGACTTACGACCGGTTGGGAGTCGCGGCATTAAAAAGGTTGAGTTAGCTTAGTTCAAAGAAAAGCAGGATTTTGATAATGGTTTATCAACCCATAACCATATTTGTGTTACAAAAGCATAAAAACAAACCATTATAGGATACCTACACTAAAAAATCTACATCTTCAGAAGGCAATAAAATGCAGCACTCCTTTTCCCCCTTTACACCAGGAGCAAGACTACTCAAGTGCATAGCAAGTTCTCCCTTCTCTTTGGACAGTCATCCAAATACTAACTACAGTAGTCTCAACTCTAAACTTCTAGCTAAGTACTGCCACCTGCTGAATCACAGACAAACAGGTTGGTTCACAAAGATTGCTCTCTGCACATCTCCAAATATTGCTACATTGCTAAAGCTTCATTCAACTTTTAAATCTGATTGAAATCGAATCAAATTTAGTTTTTGTTAGGGACCACTATGCTTACAATTGGAGAAGAAACAGCCTCAAAGTATGGCTTTCATGTGAAAAAAATGACTTACCCGTGCACCATGTGCTGTTTCAAAAGAGAAAAGATGACAGAGGGTCCGGATCACACCATCTCCCCCCCCCCAAAAAATCACAGCGTGTGTCACCTGCTGTTCATATGCAGAGTGTGATGTGTAAATGAGATGTATATACATCTCAGCAGAACAAATGAAAGGTTCTCAACTTGGAGAAAAGTCCCACAGGATCCAGGTTCTCCAAAGCATAGGCACACACAAGAATGCAAGTGTAGACTTGAGAGGCAGGGCAAGTAAGGTAAGCAACAACAAAGAGAGGTCTGCTGTGTGCAATCTGGTTTTCTAGATTTGGGGGTTTCTTTAAAAAAAACTTTTGAGGAGCTGAAATCAAACTAAGTACCATATAAATTCACCAAAGATGGATTATGTCCCCAAATCAAATGCTTCTCTCTGGTCACATATGTTCATATGTAATTCCAAACTTGGATGAAATTGAAACAAATCAGAATGCATTGATCTATACAGAGTAACTATATTTTGTTTCCCACAACTGCTTTTCACTGATTTTTTAGTTCATAAAATACATAGGAAGTCAATGCAAAATTTGAGCAAAATACTGTAATTACATAGTCAAAGAAGCAAAAAAGCAACATCTGCCTATGTAACCGTTAATATTCTAAATACACTGAGATAATAAATGTTTCAGATACACTTATGAACATTTTTACAAAATGCTTTGTTTTTTGTTCATGATGTTGGAAGCTAGATGGCAGAATAGTCCCATAGGTAAAGTACATTTTTTCATTGAACAGTTTTATGAATCTTGGGAGAAACTACTTCAGTGTTTTGGTAATTAAATGGTTATATGTTGCTGCAGTAAACAAGCTGCTACAATAAAATAATTGATTAGTAATTTGGGACTAAAAAAATTTGCTACAATACATAAATAACTGATTAGTAATATGGAACAATAGAAATTTCTTAATGGTTCCTAATATTAGAATGAGCTGCCAGGGTACATTTTGTGTATCTATGATAGTTACTTTTGAGGCACTTTGAAATAGGAATGTTTGCCTGTATCCATGATTTATCTGTATCATAAAGATTTATAAGACAAGCAGCTCTTTTTATAAGGAACTCTGTGCCTGAAACCCATATGCATGATTACTTGAGGACTACTAAAAAAAATGTGATAAATCCCCAACAGATAAGCAAATAATAGTAACTATCCTGGATAAGAATAAGGAGCCAACAGCCTGTCAGATCTTGCTGACTCAAATTTTCATTTGCCCTAGCTAGAATTACCATGATCAATCATATTTAGAGTTATAGTTCAATGAACGTACAGAAATTTATGGGATACATTAGCTATTGTATTTGTGGTGAAACAGTCCTTTTTTTCTCTCAGTATTGGGTATCTCATGACGTTGCTGAATGTTTTTTCTTTGCAGTTCACATAATTCTCATGTGATTCTACAGTTTCTTTTCAGGGTGCAAAGTAAGCCTCTTTTAAAAAAAATGATTCTTTTTAAAGTTCATATTATTTCTAATTCTGCATCTTTAGTATTAACTGTAAATCATGACAAAGCCTGCATCTAGCCATAGAATTAGTACTGGTGCAATACTCTACCCCAGGAGTAGGCAGCCTTGGCTCTTTTATGACTCGTGGACTTCAACTCCCAGAATTCCTGAGCCAGCATGGCTGGCTCAGGAATTCTGGGAGTTGAAGTCCACGAGTCATAAAAGAGCCAAGGTTGCCTACCCCTGCTCTACCCTAGTCACAACAAACAACAACCATCTTTGCCTTGAACGCCAGTGCAAAAAGGAAAAACAAATTGTCAATGTCCACTCTTTCATCTGAGATACTGGAGTGTCTCTTATGTAGATATAAATTCAGCCATAATGATGAATGAACTTCCATGTATGGGTAGACAGCCTGGCACCCTGCAGAAGCTTTGGGTTAAAATACTCATGATCTCCTGTCTTTTGCCATGTTGAGTTGGGGTTGAAACTTCTGCAGGATGTCACGTCTCCCCTCGCCTTTCTGCCAGTTCAGAACCAGAGTGTAAAACTAAGGTACAGAATGAATGTGAAAAGTCAACAGTTTAGGATTAGCAACCAAGGAGCAGAGATTTTATTTCCACCAGTGCCCTTCTGTGGAAAATTGAAATAAATCTCTAGTTTTGCATTTGTGGAATTTTGCTTTTTACCAACATTCTGAGATTATGAAGAGGAGTCTGGAGAAAACGGCATATGCTTGGTTGAGCAAATGCATCTGGTTTATATATATTATCAAGCCTGGTTTGGCAATGATGGCAATGTTGCCCTCTTGGAGATCTGCCTTTCCAAGCCTCTCAAAAGCTCTTCCTTGGATATGGTCATACCTGAAAAATATCTTCCAGCCCTTAATCTTCCTTTTCTGGGAAGATTGTTAAACAAGTGATGAGAACCATTTACAGAGTGTGCTAAAAGAAATTATACCAGTCTGGTACTATAAACTTCTCAGATACCTTCAGTATTATTGACAATGCTATCTTTTTAGATTGTCAGTAAAGGAAGATAAAGTTGGGAGTATTGGTCTAAGTGGCTCCTCTCCTTCAATGGGGCATTCCAGTCTATGGCCTTAAGAGAAGGGAGGTCAGCCTGACCACTTATAGAATAACTTAGGGTTTGTCCTC